TATTTTTCTGAAAGGGTGTCGGAGACTGTTGATTGACGAAGGCGGTGGCCGTGTTCACGCTCAAACCACTTGATTGCGTCAATCTGCCTTCTAGAGGGTGGCTGGCGTTGATACCACTGCCGTAGAGCGCGGCGCTGCTCGTCAGTAAGGATAAAACGGCCCATGATTGGCTCTCAATGTGCCGATAATTGGTCGACAGCCTCGCGATATCGCGAGTATCGCGAGATGCATATATTTTGGTGAGAAAATAATTGAGGAGCTGAAAACTTATCGCCAAGCCAAGGATATCGCCAAGCCGCGTATCGCGCCACCGAGTTTTCACTGTATATATGTCAAGGAACTAGATCCGCGGGGTATGTGTGCAGCGCCTGCGACCTTTCCGATTCCGGATGGACATTGGATAGTTACTATGCAGGGCGGAGGGTTTGGATCAGTGCTTCCACGGCCGAGAAGCAATGGGGCAAAGCGCCAAAGTAAGATACCGCGACATCAATCGTGACTTGAACATAAGATTGGATGATCATTGCAAGTCTGCTGCTCTGCTGCTCTGCTGCTCTGCTGCTCTGCTGACATATCGATTACAGCATGTGCTCACTCAAAACCGGTGACGAGGATGCCATCTCGATCCTGGACCTCGACAGTGGGAAATTCCCTCGCCCTCGCAATCCTCTCCGCGCTGATGACATAAGACTTTGGAATGTCCCCTGCGCTAATCATCCTCTCGACGACACCCCCGGGCTCCTCCCCAGCCTCCTCAGCAAGCATCATGTCCACTACCGCCTTCCCGCACAATGTCCCATTTGGCATGCCGTGGCCCGTATATCCACCAGCTAACCACAATCCCTCGGCATCCGGGACCTTACCAATCCAGGGGTGGTTGTCCCGTGAGTATCCCATTATGCCACTCCACTGGGCAGCTGGCTTGAGTTCCTCTAGACCCTCAGTCTCACCCGTGAGATTGAGCACTTTAAGGAGTGCGGCGCGAAGATAGGCGGCCGAGCCTTCGTCTATGACATCGTCATTGGACACGCATCTCGTAGGCTGGTCGGCTGCTCCGTGGCCGCCGCCGAACATGAAATGGCCGGCTGGGTTGGGAACGCCGTGATAGGGACGCTGAATCAAGTAGTCATCGTTGTTTGCAGGCTGGCCTAGAGCACCGACCATCCCGTATGAATCTGGGAGGATAGTCGAGTCCTTTGGGGGAAACAGTGCGGACATTTCGCCGCGAACGGGAACGATGAGATCGGCGAACTGGGGTAGTATTGCAGAAGAGTACGCATTGGTGCATAGAATGACCGTCTTGGAGGTGATATCGCCTCGCGGGGTGTGCAGAGTGTGCATGGAGCCAGAGGAGGTAATCTGCGTGACGGGCGTTTTCGTCTGGAGATTGAGCTTTCCTTCTTTTACTAGTTTTTCCAAGATGAAAGTGACCAACTTGTAAGGCCACAAGCTGCCTGCTTCATCCGTCAGCGTCGCTCCAACGCAGTCAGACTTGACACGATGCTCTTCAAATGCTGCTTTATCCTTGATGATTGTGACTTTGCTCGCAAGATATGGTGCAGCCTTCTGTAGGTGGGCTATCTCGTCTTCCGCATCCTTCAGTGTGTCTTCTGACCAAAAGGTCCGACAAGCAGTGACACTGCGCCATTCGCAGGGCACGTCATGTCGCTCGATGTAGGATCTGACCGTGCGGACATTCTTGAGCTCAAAGGCGGCGACTTTCGGCGAACGGTCGAAGAGAAGGGGTTGACAATGGCCGCCGTTCTATAAACGATGTAAGTGACATGGTCGGAATCTGCCGCCAGCGGAAGGATGTGGGAGTAGGGTGACTAGATTCTCTCATCCCACCAGATCCTATATCAGGCCAGATCCATCCTGAATGATTATACAAGAGTATCACAAGACGTACTCTACCAGTTGCGCCCCAGCACGCTTCCCTTGCTTCCAGTAGCACTATGCTCTTGCCCTTGGCTCTCTCATCCTCTGCGAGAAATCTAGCCGCAGATGTTCCAGTAATGCCAGATCCTACGATTACGATATCTGCTTCGGCAGGCAGCGATTCGGTGGTGCGGTGTCCAAGCAGGAACGCGTTAGGCTCGCTGTGCCAGAAGGAATGGGTGCTCTCCGGGGTGGGGAGACCTGCGCGGTCGTGCTTCATGATGTGCGTAGGAGGACAAAAGGTTTGTGTTGTCCCTCGCCAGTTCACGAATACATATAGTTTATTGGTTGTGAGAGATGCAATGCCGACCGGTGTTCACGAGGTGACTTGGGCCGGTGACGGAGTAGATCGGAGTGGGGTTGACGAGGACGGTGGAGCATCGTGGGAGGACGCGCCACCTTGATCCTCCAGGGTCGCCATTCCTGGCGGACAAGTCCAGGTGAACCAACTAGCGATAGACGGCATTACCGTGAACTATAGGTCGGTATTCTGGAGGACATGGAGGTACTCCAGCCCTGGGATCACCGCTGGCGTCGGATTAGTCAAGGGGGCTGTGCAAACGGCAACGTCGTCCCTTGTTCCTTCCCCACTCCATGTCTTCCCTCCTTCCTGGAGGACAAAAGGCATTCTCTAGCTTGTCCTCCAGGACGTCCGATCATCATTCCTCTTGGACCTCCTCTTCGGAGCGAGCGTCATGCACATCACACAGGATCACGGCGATGCAGTAGAGCGAGAATCGATGTTTGGAAATGGTCTCATTCAGATGGAATCCGAAGTGTTGGAGCTAATATACATGCTACTTATGTAGGAAATGACAGCATATGCTATGCGGAACGGTATTGAAAACATCGGAAAGACAGTCTTGTTGGAGCCCTGCATCGTGGCGGGCATCCTCTCGAGCCAGCGATAAGACAATTTGACGCGCCTCATTAAATCCGTAACTTATTCTGACGGTTCGGTTCGGTTGGCGAGCCACCAGACACTTCGTCGAGAAGTGTAACACCTTCCAGCAGGAGTTCTGGCTCGACAAGAGGAGAGCGAGTCGCAGACTACTCTTTGTGGATGCACGCGACTACGGCTTCCGATTGAGATGGAGGATGTCCTTGGCCGTGTCGGTGACGGAGAAGTCATTGAACAGCCAGGAATTGGAATGGCGTCCGCGCCACATGTCGCTGCTGCTGCTGCTGGTGCTCTGCCGCGACGGGCCCTGCATGCTCGGCCTCTGCGGTTTTGTTGTCGACGACACGGAGCTTTGGCTGGCGCTGGACGAATGTCGCGGTTGACGGGGCCTCGATGCCGACGTGGACGAGGTGGAATACGTGGGGCTGGCGGGGTGCGGTGTCGGCGAGTGAGGCAGCTGCTCCGGCGGCAGCATCATTGGCGACTTTGACCGGCTGCGTCCGGCGCGGGAGCGACTCCTCGACCGGCCCCGTATCTTGGAGGCAATGGCACCGAAGAACGACCCCTCGGCTGGAGACGTGGGCGACTGGGTGGCGCGGGAGTAGGTCGAGGCAGGAGAGTGCATGTGGGGGGACATTGGGCCCGAGGCGTGCGACTTGGTGGAGCCTCCGGTGCTGGTTCGGATGGGCGGGGGCAGCTGGGACGAGGGCATTGCTGGTTGCGGTATGTGTGGGAGTGACGATGGCGGGGTATGAAGCTCCAGGGCTTGGACGTGTTCAGGATGCAATGGAGTGGGAGTGGGATTGCAGGCGGAGAATGGGCGGCCGCGTCTTCATATACTCAGATAGAGGACAAGGTAGGAGGATCATTAGTCTTCGGGCCAGATTTGAGGCTCCAACAGCTGTTTCGTCCTCCAGGCCTCATTGTCCTCCCGATGAGCATGAGCGTGCGGCCGGGCGCATATCCCTTCCCAGGGCGGATGCGGTGTGTGGGAGCAGCAGCCGTCCAATGGAGCGCGACGGCCGCTCGCTCCCAGCCGAAAGGCGGCTCAGAAGAGGGGCTTTCTGCGAAGACTCACCGACTCACCTCGCCAGTGGCGCGCCCCATGGTTTCCAGGGCTGCAGCGACAGCGCAGAAACAATGCAGCCGAGAAGCCAGATCCCGACGGACTCCGACTCCCCATGGCTTTGGCTTCGACGGCCCAATCAGTCGCCCGTTGCTGCCTGGGAACCAAGGCGCCGTGTCACCGCCTTAGGGAGAGACATCACGCCAGCTTGCCCATAGACCTACGACTTCACTGCTCAATTGCTTCTCTGGCCCTCTCTGAAACTGCGGGGCCGGCTGCACTCGGGCCAGACCGACCCCTGCCGAAGAGGACAGGTGGTGATGTCGAGCCATGACGCCGTTGCGCAGTCATTGATAGCCTGCGAGCGTGCATGTGCAGAGGTGCACCTTGCAGCTGTTGAGAGAATTATGCTGCACACGCTATTGTCGCTGCTTGTGCGAGGCTCGTCGGACCCCCCGATCCAGGTGCAGCCAAAAAGAAAAATGATGCAGATTGGCTGACTCGACCGTGCGAACGTGGAGCTCCCGCAACGCACTGCGACTTGGGGAAGGCACGTGAAGATGCAGACCGCTTGTACAGGATCCGTGAACCTAACTGTATGCCTCCTCTTGTTTCGCCCTCGAAGTACAAGAAGGGCTTTTAACAAAACAAAAAGAAATTTGAGTAGTGCATCGGACGGGAATCGAACCCGTGCCAATTGCTATCGCTACGAATGGAAGGCAATTATCCTACCACTGGACCACCGATGCTGTGAATATAATAATTTAATGAGTATGTAAATTAATGTACGCTTGATTTCTCTACTTGTCGTGAAGAGTGCGTGGTGTTGTAATCTCGGCAGCGCGTGTCTCTGCGGGGCCCATGTAATTAGTGTATCGATAGGCCATGTCACGGCCAAGCCTGAGTCATTAATCTCATTGGCAGAATCCTATCCGTGGTGCGATCAATTTAGGACAGCCTCGCACCAACTAATTCAGAAATCTAGCCAGCATCCATTCACTTTTGATTTAAACTCTAAATAATGGCTAGAACCTTGCTCAAAGTGACGATTCATTGGCGATCGGATGACAAGATAATTGGATCAACCATGTTCGCGCAGCCCAGGCCTTTTGACGCGAATCCGTCGCCCTTTTCTATCTTCGGGGATCAGCATCATCATCAAACATTTATTTAGCAAATCGAGCGGCAGTACGGAGTAAGATGCGAGCAAACGCGTCATCGCGGATAGAACTATTTGACGTGGAACCGTTTGCGTCTCTATTTTTCAGCATGATAGTGCGGGATAAACTTGGAAGCGCCAGTACTCAATCGGATGAAACGGCCATCGAACCGAGAGCTCCTACGCAACCCGAACCCTCACACATCGATCAACATGAACAGATTCACGAATTCACTTTATGATTCGAATCCGGTGCCCCCGATATCCAAGTCGACCCACCGCACCACTTAGGTCTCCCAGGAACTAGAATGCCAATACGAAGAGAGCTGTTCCTTGCTTTCCATCACTTGGATGCTTCTAGCAACACTAAAACTTGCTCCCATACAATACACTGCAGCGTCTTTACCACTCCGATTCTTTCATCTCACCCAGCATCACTTGCAGATCTCTTCCTCTAATTTGTGCCCTTCCAAACAAAGACTCTGGAGTACTCGTAGCCTGTACAGAGCAAGGAGTGGCCTTATATGGTGGGTCGGGTCAACTTGTGCATTACAAGAGCGTTTCCAGTGTGATTCCATGCCATCGCCAGTCCAATACAATTGCGAAACTGGAGTATCTACAAGTATGAGAAATATCATCTCCATTCTAGAATGATTAGAGAAAGCTGACTTTGTTTGAAGACCGGCTTTTGTATTTTTCGATACGAGCTCACGCTAGCCTTTCTTGTCGTTTTCTTCTGTAGGCATCTCGTGCACAGTATGAGCATTCATTTCATATATTTCCAGGTGCCTGCTCGTATCGCCAGATTTCTCATTGTTTTGGCCAGGGTATTCTGGGGTGTATATCTCGGTGGGAGCCGTGTTGTGATCGCCTCCAGGGCCATCTTCTCGATGATTCTACGAGGAGTTAGCACTCGCTTTGATGTTTTCGGGGTGTATGTTGTTCCTACATATCTGTTGCGACGCAGGAGGAAAAACACCAGGCAGACGATGGCCGCGAGCCCGAGTATCGAGCCTACCGCGGCACCAGCAATGGTTCCTGAAGAAACACCCTTCGAGCTACTCGGAGTGTCTCCACCTACCGCTGCGGTAACAGTGGAAGGAACGCTCGAGGTGGATAGCGTTAACGAGGAAGATGAAGGATTACCACAGCCGACTGCGGGGGAACTTGCTGCAAAGCCATCAATGGGGTGTGCATAGGCATTCATTCCTGGCGTTGACGCTGTCCACGGCTCTACGTTGGTGAGGCCGTCCACGTTATATTTAAGGACTGTTGTTGTTTGCGATAGCGAGAAAAGACTCGAACAAGAGCCTCCATACCCGGGACGGTCCCTGATACTGGGAGTGGCCGGTGGACGAAATCCGTACCCTCTATCAAGCATTAGTCTAGCTACTCCTCAGGGTCTTGCTTCTGTAATCACCTACGAGGGGCAACACACTATGTAATTGTCATCTCCGACCCATCTAGTACAGAAATTCGAGGGGCACACCAGCGGACTCATGACAGGTACTATGGAAGACCCATAGGTACTGGATGAGATTGCAGTGTAGCTCTTAAGAAACTCTGATGGATAGCAATTGGTGACGGTCGTATTCGGGAAAGGAACTGGTTCATTGACGAAAAGAAAGAATCCGGGAGAAGGCAGCATGGTGAGTTTATTGTCTGTGCACGATGCTGCGGGCGTGAATGTAGTGGACAAAGCAAGCGTTGTCGTTGGCTGTGCCAAAGATGGAGAAGTCATCCATGGAGTTTGCAATCCAGTCGCCTCTCTAGCCTGGGGTCTTATTCGCGCCATGCCGCTAGAATACAAATATGCCTTGATCTAGCATATAATGAGACCTGTGGGCGCTGGTAAAGGATTGTGCGTGGAGACGCGGAAAAAAACCGTACAATCAAAATGCAGTGGTGAGCAACTTAGCTTTATCGTCGTGACGATGCCTGCCTGAACGCTCCCCGCATATTAACCGTTTGGAAGTAAATTTCTAGGATCTGAACTCCGGCGCACTGCGTATCACTAGCGGCATGAATGCTGTGTGATGGGGCGGAAATGGCATATTGCTGGGGGCGATTTGCCTTGTGGTGTTCCAAAGAGGGAATCATGTTCCAGAGTGACTGCACACCAGCCGCCCAATCCTATGGTTCAATTGATAAGTCCCACTGCACCTTCGACGGGTGCCTGACAATGTCCACCAGCGACTCTATCGACCGGTAGACAAGGGCCATGGGCGAGATTTCTTGGGCGGACTCGCCACGATATCATGTCGAGACTGTTTCTGGTTTCAGCCACCAATCCTACAGCAATGCGACGATGGACATAAACATCAGCTTTCCACATTCCACATTTGGCACCGTCTGTTATCAACATTGCAGTTCCCTAGTAATTCAGGAACTCACACGATACGGCTATATTTAACCGCCTAGATACTGCGTGTCAGTGTATATTGATTAGACCCGGAGCGCTGATCAGGCCTAATTTTGGACGCGGGTACAGCCTGTCGCAGTCCGAGCAATAAGTCTGAGCTCTCAATCGGAAATCACTTCGCTCGTAGGCCTTTGTGAGATTGCACTAGGCCACTGGGGAGGTTGTATGGTGTTGGGTGCGGGGTCACAGGAGTCGAGATGGGGAGATGGGTCGGGGTCCGACGGCGGGAGCGACACAACCGAGGGTCTATGCCATTGGAAGAAGCGGATGCTGTCGTACAACAGCGCGCACACGCTGCAAACACAGGGGGCACAATATTGTTTTGGCCTCGCCTGTGTCTCACCATAATCAAAATATAACCTCCATCCTGGAAGACCTGGCCTATGATCAATCTATCGTCGTGAGGATTGTGGACATTACAGAAGAAGGCAAATCAAGAGGCCATGCTCTTTGTATGCTCAGAGTACAAGAATCATCCATCAGATGTATTGGATGAGGGGGGCCTGAAAGCTGTACGACTAGTTGGCCATCTTGTACACCTCTTCGGATGTGATCCAGAGACTGAGCTGGAGCGCCCGATGTACTGGTTGACTTCTATCGCACCAGTACACGCATGTCGCAGCCTACGAGGGCATCTTATTCAATCGCGCTCGTCGCCCAATAAAATGCAATCGGCATCCTCACACTCTTGTCCATTGAGCCGTTGACAGAAATAGTTATAACATCCTAGGCACATCAATGATGTACGTGCCAGGCAATTCTGCCCAATAAAGAGAACTCGGAGCAAATGCAGCCCCAGGCCTCAAACACCATTCACACCATCCACTCTAACCACTTCCTCCGTCCCCACCCTTAAACAACCCCCCATACTCGTGCAAAATCCTCTCCTCAATGTCATCCACATACCGCTTCTCGCTACATGCCAACATATAATCCCGCATCCCACTCTTGGCACTCCACTCCTCCTTCCAAAATCTCTGCGCCAGGTCTCGTATCTCCTTCTCGCGCTGCTCGGCTTGATGCGCTCTCGCTTTTGCTGCATCGGCTTGTTGGGACTGGTGCTGGAGTTGGCTTTGGAGGTCGGCCAGCTGGCGCTGCAGCTCCGTCGTCTCCGAGTGTTGGCTTGATGACGATCGGCGGGCGAAGGGGCGCGAGAAGAGGTGGACGCCGGGCAAAGGGTCGCCATGGGGCTGGGTGAGGGTTAGCTCGGAGGGGACACGTGAGCGGGAGATGGGTGTGGGGGAACCTTTTGGGGAGAGGTCATGGTGTGCGGTTGGTTGGGTACTTTTTGAGGAGAAGTCATGGTGGTTGGTAGGGAGGGATTGGTAGTGCTGTGCTTTGGTCTGCGGGCGATGGGTATCTAGAGCGTTTGTGTAAGAGGAGCGAGTAGTGTTTGCCCTGGCAACAGCATTGGTTAATCAGAATATTGAGAGACAAGCTTATGAGGAAGTGAAATAAGTAATAGGAAGGCGCAGTGACAGAGACGTGTGAATGAACCAGATAGTGTATGAGACACCCAGGTAGAAGCGCCTCGTGCCTGCGTCAGGACCCAGGAGGGTTGCTATCGAATACGCTCGAGAATCCTCTCTCGACGTCTGCAAGTCTGGGATATACAATAAACTTGTTAGAAAAGACAAGGCCATCGCTACACTTTTCTGAAGCTGTTTAAGTTCTAGCGCAGTTGCCACGACTGTAGTAGGCGTGCAAGTGAGACTTGCCACATTAGGCTAGCGCCTGGCCCGTGCCCGAGCTCCTGCCATATCAACTGCTCCCACAATGACGCCCCAACCAGAAGACCCACTCCTTCACGCTCTCGCCAATAATCTCTTCGCCTCTCAGCATCAAGTAAAACACCCATCGCGTCCCTCGCCATCCATCGAGAAAATATGTCCAGCAAGAGCAAGAGCAAGAGCAAGAGACATAAAGCCCTGCGCTCCGAGAAGCAGAAGCTCTTCAAGCAAAAGGCACGCAGCTCCCGCAAGCCAGAAGTGCCCTTCCCACTAACGTCCCCCCAAGGCCCGCAAAAAGGGCATCCAAGCAGAATTCATGCCAAATCGCACGCTCAAGCGCTCCGCCCGCAAAGCACTCACTAAACGGCTGGACAAACGCCTCTATAACGCGCCGTGGGCAAGGGACATCATGTTCAAGTTTCGGCCAGACAAGTACCC